GATACCGAACCCCCTCGACCTGACGCGACGTCACGTCGTCGTCGTGGTGCTAAAAGTACAGAGAGAGAGAGAGAGAGAGAGAGAGAGAGAGAGGGAGAGAGAGGTCATTATTCGCCCGGCTATGAAACACGATTCCTTTTCCTAACGTCGTAAAGAAAAAAGGAGTCGGCAGCACACAGAAGTGCGAGTAAACATAAAAGTAAAAACACTTGGCGCGCAAACGCAGATATAACGCCGACTGTTCATGCCGTGTATTTACCATCGGGGCGGGTTTACCGCTCAGCGAACGGCGGCGGCGGACAGCGGCAGTTACTGTACTCCTCCCCGGGGGCCGAGGCGCTCCAGCTAGCTGGAGGGAGGAATAGAGTCATTAGACGCGGTAGTAGTAGTAGTAGTGGTGGTGTTGTTGTCGTCGGTCCCGGTCAACGGTGACGAGGACGCTTTTTTGCGAGGATGCGTCTCTCTCTCCTCTCCCTGGTCGTGACGGTGGCGAGGATGGCCCCCGCCCAAATCCAGATGTTGCTCAGACGACAATAAAGATGGGAATGAAGAGATAAACGCGATACTGGCCCCGCGAGGGGGTGTCGTCCGGCGGCGGGTGGACGACTGGTATGGCACCCTCCTGGGAAACACTCACACACTGGAGAGACGCAGTTGTTTGTATAGGAATTAGTGGCCGGGAATGGGTTATAAACCTCAACGTTTTTGTAAAACGGCTAAGAAAAAAAATTAGCGCAAACCTAAGCGAAAACGACCGAAAGGACCCAAAACTCCCTGGCCACTGGGTATACTGTGTGACGCCTTGGGAAAAGGCAGTAAAATCAGATACTATTAGAAAGCATCTTCCCGTTCCAGTGTATCTTTTTGATGAGCAAAACCGTAAACCTGCAGGTGGGAGAACGAGCCGATGAGCGTCTTGCCTCTGGGAAATCGTCAATATGCCTTTTCCCGTGAAGCGAGTGTCACGCGAGTTGCGACGCGAGTTGCGACGCCACGCGAGCGAGGCATGCAGAACAGAACCGTGACGGTGACGATGCTCTGAGCGCCTCTGCGCGGCGGAGCGGAGGGTGACGGGTATGACGAGCCAGTCTGGAACCTACGTGTGTAGGGAGATCCGGACAACAACACAACAACACTGCAACTTTTTTATTTTGCCTCCCCGGCCAGCCTCGGCCTCTGCGCCACACACTGCGACGCGCCGAAAAACACTGGGCACTGCTGCTGCTTCTGCGCTGGGCTGGGATTTCATCATGTACATGTGGGCCGCTTAAACAAACAAAAAGCGAAACAACAAAGTGCCTGGTCCTGGTCCGGGGAGCGACAGGTGACGGGGGAGGGGGATGGGAGGGGGAAGGGGGATCTGTTCATGTCAGAGTGAGTTCTGCTTCCGCTACGGCACAGAGGAGCGCGCCAACGGGGACAACGCCGCGCAACCGGGACCACGGAGGCAGCGACACTGCCGTAGCCTCGCCGCAGAGGGCCGTCGATGATTAGGCGGAGGCGCGCGCAGATTTGAACTCAGGACCGTGAAGGAGGCAAGAGTAGTAGTAGAAGTAGGAGGAGGAGGAGGAGGGTGCGACATTGCGAGGCTGTTCACCTCGTGGGGGGTCGCGGGGGAGGTGAGGAGGAAGAGGAGGTGGGGTGGGGGGTCATCATTTACACGCGCCGCAAAGCAGGTGCCATCTGGAACGAGACAAGGTACCTCCGCCACCATTAGCATACACCCCGAGGAGAGGGTGGTGTGACGGCACGGCGCACGCCCGGCGCGCCTGCCTGCCAGGGGGGCCGTCGTCACCAATGACTTATTAGTCGGATGATGAAGGTGAAGGGGGGGGGGGGCACAGACCGATATTATTTAAGCTTTCCGACCGCATCTTGTTAAAGGAAGCCGCCCACCGCCGCTACCCCAGCACACCGAAGAAAATATTTCTTTTCGGGCACTAAGCATTCGTCCAATATGGCCTGGACGCTGTCCCAGCACAAAATTAGAAATCTCCGTCTCCACTGAGTGGGAATGCGCTGTGCTGTAAATTTTCTAGAGCTGGTCTTTAAATGGGAGCTGCGTTTAGTCCCCAGCGGTAAAGGGATAGGGCGACTAAAAAGCTTCGATCCGGATGATAAGTGCAGAGTGCTTAGCGAGATAAAAAAAATCTCATCTCCAAAAGCATAAATCGGCGTCCCTCTCTATTTTTGGACACCGGACCGGCGAGCGAAAAAAGGGAATCTACGTTTGGCTTTTCATATAAATGGCTTTTGTTCGCTTCAAGTGCAGAACGAGCCGTTCGCAATGTCGAAAATGGTTCCTACACAAGGACGCGCGCGCGCGTGCGGCCGTTTAGCCCACAAAATGTAGTGCTTCATCAGGGACGTAATCACATCGCGCACCGGGTTTGTGAAGGGAGCGAAACAAAAATACAAAAAAAATACGCCCCATGCCGCTCAGCCGCTCGCATCGCTCGTCCGCGCGGTTCTCCCGCCGGGCGGCCCGCGCTGCTGCAGCCGGACCCATAAACAGTTTTGCAGCCCCAGTCCAGCCGCCGAGCCGGACCGCGCCAAGTTTCAAAGTTTAACTCTTCTGCCTGAGCCGCTCCTCATGCGCCTCTGCTGCTGCGGGCCGACCAGGCCGGGCTGCAGCTCCGCGTGACGAGTGGCCGTCGCGACGCGAGTACGTGGGCCGCCTGGAGCCTCCAGCAGCGCCTCCAGGGAGCCTCCGAGAGAGAGACCCGCGGAACGGCCGCCCAACAAGATTTTTATCTCTCCCGGGGAATAAACGTCGCGGGCGGCTGGAGGAGGAGGAGGAGGAGGAGAGCGGGTGGGATGCAAACAGCATTACGATCCATAGCAGCTTGTCAGGTCATTTCCCCGTCTTGTTGACGAAGTTTGTCATACTTTTTTATCGCTATTCCACGCGCGCTTCGCCGCCCGCTGTAGCGGGAATATCCCGCCGTGGGATCGGAAAGGAAAAACGTACCGTTTTTCACAATTCTCATCATGATGATGGTCCTATCAGAGAACGTCCAGAAGGCACGGCCGTTTTACCCGGATTCATTCGGTATTGTACCGGAAGCCCGGCATCCGCGCTGGCGCCTGCGAGACTCATGGTAGGCCACCCCGCAGTACACGCATACACAGCAGGCTGGATGTTGCCTACCTACGAGGCGCTTTGAGAGCTTGCAGAGGCGGGATTGGGTAGGGTTCGTAGTAACGGCGAATCACGAACGTACTTTCTGGATAATCCCTTATTGTGAAGGGGCAAGAACGATGGTACCACACGCCGGGTTCTTTTTCTAATTGCACCCTTTGCAAAGTTTAGTCAGGGCCGTTTGTTTCTAAATTTGGAAAGTCAGCAGCGCGCTGCGGCGCGGGGTGTTAGGTCGGGCGTGAAAACTAGTTTCGTACTGGTACTACTACGAGCGAGTCGGTGAGCCAATGTGCGTGTGTGTGTGTGTGTGTGCAGCATTGCTCTCTCGAATTCGCCCAGCCGTGCCGAGCCGGAGTCAAGTAGTTGTGGTGGTGGTGGTTCCAGAGGTGGAATTGATCCCCGGGCCGGCTTGTGGTCGCGTCGCGCCTGCTCGCCCGCCGACACTCTCGCGCCCCGGCTCGGCTGCTCGCGGTGTCGCTCGCGCCCGCACCCCGCGCCGCCGCCGCCGCCGGCTTCTATCGCGATTGATTACCGCCAATACATTATGAGCGAGCGAACAGTTTGAATGAATGAATCAGGCACGCTCGAATGAGCCCCGCAACGGTCCGACGAGTCGACTGGCTCAGCGACGCGAGCCAAAGACCGTCGTCGTCGTCGTGTTCTGACGACGAAGCGAGTCGCGCCCCGGTGGCCTTAAGAATTTGTTGGTCGCTGTGTTGTGTTGTGTTCTAGATGGATATCCCGCACGTGGATAGAGACATGGACGGAAGAAGTTTATGGAAGGAGGAGGGGGGAGAAAGAGAGGGAGCGAGAGGAGAGAGAGAGAGAGATGTGGAGAGAGAGAGAGAAATGGTAGAAAACGAGAGGGGTGTATAGGGCAGCGGCGGCAAGGCGTTCCGGCCGATCCGAGCCGTGCTGGGCCGGGTCCGGCGTGTGGAAGTGCCTCTCTCGGACCTTAATAGGCCGGCGGGAGGACCATCATCAGCACCTCCGGGTGTGGCTCCGCACTGACACACTGTATCGCTCAAAACACGGGCTCCACTTCTGCAGCGCCGCAAAATTCTATGGCACTCCGCTCCTTCAGTCTCGAAAGAAAAAAGATCCAAATGTGTAGCTATTTTTAAAAGTGAATAGGCTTTCATAAGCTTTGAAACTTTTGAATTGTTTAATAGGAACGCTCAAATTAGCTGGCATACAATGTACCAAAATTGTGGCATGCAAAAGTAGTCACAGGTTTTTCGGTGATAGAGACAAGGCGGCGGCAGCATTATACATTCAGTTCAGTCCAGGACGAAAAACACACCGGCAGAGACAATCGGGGAGACGGAATGATTTAGTGGGTATCTGCTATCGGTAACACTGGCGGCTAG